AATCCATCCGGTAAGGAGCAAATTGGGACCTCACTCGCAACAACTCATCATCCCCAGATGAGTCTCGCCTACCAGGCTCCTCGACACAGGGCGTCCCCTGGTCAGCCAACACTGTGCCCGAGGGATCCAGATCCAAATCATCCTCTCCCACCACAGCCTTTCCACTTCAGTTCTAGGACCTCGTCCTATATGAAGCGCAGACCATACTTCTTCGGCCCCAGGAATCCCATCCTGGCCTGTATGGTCACCACCGTCCCCTTCTCCGTTGCTCACTACGCAAGCTCATCACCACCAACCGAAATTGGCTACAACTGACCGATCCGGGCGCCTCATCCACAGAGACCAACTGACTCCTCTGAGCCGTACACAACCCGAACCGGTGCACAGTTCAGTCATTTGTTGAGGATGCAAAGGCACCCATCAACATCACACTTTCACAGGACACAGTTCCCTCTGCAGGAAACTGGTCAACTTTCACCAAGCACAAGGACCGCGAAGAGTAACGAGTATACACTCCAGCACATACTAGTAGGTCATGTACTGTCCGGCCATCCTCTCCACAAACTTTTTTTTTTCACAAACAGAACGTCTGGAGAATGAAGATCGACAACAAGGTCAGAACTCGCCATCCTCGCGACATGATCGTCCAGAGCATTCGCAGATAAAACTGCTTCCGCCAGCACCAACGCTGGGCGTCACAAATCTTCGTCTGGTGCGTCCGGCGACACGCAGAACGAGATTTGAATTCGTCCACAACCAGCGACGTGGTCTGCATCCTCCCATCGTTTCAGGCAACTTTCAGCCATGAAACAACCGGTACGGGTCTTCAAACAGCACTCGCCATTGCGCGACTGAGAACAAACTGAGTGCAAACGTCAGTAAGGCCTCATCGTTGAAGAGACGACTTGTCAAGCTTCAAGAGCTTCAAGCGGTCTCAACAAACACCATGTCCGAACAGTGGCGTTTTCTTGTCGAAACTTGAAAACTGCACTGCACTACTCCGTGATCCAGTCGTAGTGACTACTTTCACAACGCTCCGTAAAGAGGACCCAAGCCCTGTTTACGGCTCATGTGCGTACACATGGTACACGGGTTCACGAACCCTTCCATATCTGAAGCTGAACAACGCGCACTGCACTCGTACTTGAGAACTGCCTGAATGCAAACAACTCCTCGATCGATCGTGCAACCGACAATAAATTTCGCACCTTGGTGTCCGCCGTGTAGTCCGCAGAAAAGCAAGCTCGTCGTGCACTACGAACTCGCACTACAGCGCTACAGGAACACGAGGTACGGAACGAAAGCCAGTGCTGGATCCGAAAGAGAAACGCACTCGGAGTTTTCTTCGTACCAAGTTGGAGCGTCCAACACTGCTGTTGCTCTGCCACGTCTATCGCCAAGAACCTGCCATCAGAGACAAGGTTGTTCACGAAAGACTGCTGTGGACATCGCGTCGTTGCAGTTACGGAGTGAGGAGAACTTAGACCATCCTGGTCACAGCACCAAATGTTGCGTCCCCGGCTCACAGTGACCGGACCCCGAAATCACTACGAGCGGCGACTGAATATAGACGTGTGGCCTCACGACAAGCCCAACACAACCCAGGGGCCAACCAATATAGCTGGCTTGGTCCAAGTTCAACCCCACACGATCAACAGACAAAGACTGTTAGTTTTACGTTGTGAGTAGTATCAAATCCGAGCTCAAAGTAAACGAAGACAGAGAGCTGAGACCGAGTCTCGACTGCTAGACTAGACTAGACTAGACTAGACTAGAACTGAACTGAAGTAAGAAAGAGAATGAGAGCTTCTTTTATAGGGTGCTTCAGAGATATATGGCGTGATCATTGCGAGGTAATTCCAGCAAATAGCAGAACAAGTCAAACCGGAATGTGCGCAGCCAGTCAGCAGAAATGCAGAATATACGTACGGTGATCATTCGAGAAGAAAGAGAAAGAAAGACATCGAGAGAAGAAAGACCAAATTGGGACGTGGGGAGCCCGCTCACCCACGTCAGAGTACAATGTGAGTATATGAGGGTCACGTTGGGGAGCCCGCTCACCCAACGTGCCATAGTTCAGCGGCTTCTTATGGTACATGGTAAGTCCTGCTGCATTCTTGGTCTTGCTTGCGTGATACTCTGACGTCTTGCGCGGTGACGGTTTTGGTTCTTGCACACGCCTCCTGTCTTGCACTTAGCTCTTGTTATACAATGTCATATTAGTCTTGGCTCTTTGCACGAAGCGCCGAGGCATCGTGGAAACCTGTAGAACGTCGTAGTGACGTGGTTTTGCACAAAGCCTGGAATCACATTTCCAGGAAGTGAAGCACTTCCAGGAAACGTACAACGCGAGAACCTACCTGACCAGGTTCCGGCCTTGGATCACATGATGTGTCATGCCAAGAAGGCATGTCACCTACGTGGGAAAGCGCGTGTCGCTCAACCTACATGCTAAGCACGTGGGACAAGACACTGGCCAAACAACGTTGTACTAAAAGGGCGTGACAGCTCAGCACAGAGCTGCTCACTACGTAGATCCTGCTGTCACAGGACTAACAGGCAGCAGTTGTCTTATTCTGGGACGTGACACTACCATCCGATTTCAGTACTGGCACAGTAGGCGATGCCCATTTGGAGTGCTCAACTTTGCGAATAACTCCCTCTGCTTCCAATTTCTCCAAAGCCTCCTCGTACTTCTCCGTGATAGAAAACGGGACGGGACGCGCCTTGTGGAAAATTGGATCAGAATCATCCACTCTCAGGGTGATTTGAGCCGACCTCAGCTTGCCAACCTGAGTCGTATCGAACAGCTCCTCAAATTCCTCAATGAGAGCTCTCCTCCTACCATCCATTTGAACATGATTGACATTGACAATCTGTTTCCACGGTAGAGTAAATTGGGACAACATATCCCTGCCCAACAATGACGGACCACCATTATCCACCACACGGAGTAGTGTTGGTTTCTCCACACCATCAATGCTGACATTGAACTTCCCTTCACCAATACATTTGATTTCTGCCCCAGAAAAACCGGTCATGCGTACACTCGGTTTGGTTAAATTTGTACGAGACACCCCAAGTGACTCAAAATCATGGACAGAAATGATTGAAATGCCACTGCCCGTGTCGATTTCCATTACAACAGGAACATCATTCACAGCAATTTCCAATTTGTAGGAGGGCACAGATTTGCTCTTCAATTCGCCCTGATCCGAAATGTGGAACATTGGCATGCACTCAAGATCAGCAGATTCATGCTCACCTGCGTCATCAGTCACAACATTGTGCACCGACGCGCCTGACGTGGATTTCTGCCGACAAACACGCTCCAAGTGCCCCTTCCTGTGGCAGTGACGACACTCAGTGGCCTTGTGTTTGCACTTATCCGCCAAGTGTTGAGTAGACCCACAGCGGTAGCACAATCTCTGCTCTCGAGATTGATGAGAAACACCAGACTGCGCCTGCGAACGCGATTCCACTGGCCGGTGATTCACCTTGTGCACTTCCTGCTGAGAGGTCAGCTGCACGGCCGCGCGCGCAGCCGATTCCTGCGTCAAAGCTAGTTTGACGATGTCATTGAACGACTGTGCCGAAGTATCTTCTTTCGTCAATAAGAAATTTCGAGTGGATGAGCTGCTCAAGCCAGCAATAAACTGGTCTCGAAGCGCTCGATCGAGGTGATCAGCAAACTCACACCTCACAGCCAATCTCTTCAGACGAATGATGAAATCCGCAGTCGACTCATTTTCCTTCTGCTTCAACTGATGGAAATTGAACGTCGCCGAAACTTGCGAAATTGCAGGTTGAAAATTCTTCCTCAAAAGATCGCAGATCTCCGACAGTTTCTTGTCAGCTACTTTCGCTGGCAGACAGAGGCTCCTCAAAATCGAGTAGACTTCCGCAGACAGCAAACTCACTAATACAGCCTTCCTTTTCTTGCTGGCAGCCAACTTGTCTGCAGCATTGGCCGAAGCAGCCACGGTTCCAATATCATTGGCAAAGAAATAGAATTCAAGTCTTTCCTCAAACTCTTCAAAGTCGCCGCCGGTAAACGGCTGAAGCGATGATATCCGAGCCATATCTTCGTCGCCAGTTGTTGTGTCCTACCCCAGGTGGGTTCTACTCGGACTCATCCAGCTCGATCACACACACACTCGAGGCCATTACAGATTTCAGTTCGTCTCAAACTCCATATCCGAAAAAGACCAAGCTCACGTGCGAGCATGCGCACTACATACATATGGTCCATGTCCAGGACATGACAAGGTGTGCCGATTACCAATTGAGAGCGTATTTTCTCATGGACTAAAAGATTACATGTATGTACCAGAAACGGGAGTTGAGGTAGTGGGTGGGAGGGTGGGAAGAAAATCGTGTCAGAACAAATGCTCCGCACATTGCGAACTCGAAAATCTATCTGTGATGCAATTGCAAGAGACATTGCGCGGTGCCTGCACGCAAGTCGGACCAGCTTGCTCGGCTGGCTGCTAACTTGATAGCATGCTAACGCTCATTCATCTATGAAGATATGAAGCTTTGCACAGTTTGACCAGGATGTAGTGTTGTTTTCACGATATGCACACCTAGTATAACTTACGTGGGAGACACCAACAAGTCAGGGTGCCACTTTCCAGTGAATAGACTGTAGTGCATGGCACCAATATCAACGCCTGTTTTCTGTGCATAGTTGCACAATATACGAATGATATACTAAAGCTGGTCATGCAGGGGCGTCGCACACGGTACGGTCACTACGGTATTGACCGTACCACTATTTGCCCCAAGTACCCCGTGATGCAATAAAATGCACTGATGTGGGCTCTAAATTTCCAAATGTTTCGGCTCGGCCACCCCTCCCCCACGGGTAAATTGTACTTCAGATGGCTGACCGTACCACACTAAATCACCTTCCGACGCCCCTGTCATGGCTAATAATAAAGGAGTGTTTTGAACACTGATCATGGTTTCATATTGTGCTACTTTCCACTACTTTTCAGTATCCGGCGGATCCTTTAGAAGCTCTTTTGTCAATGCTGAGTGGAACGTTCTGCCGTCCGGACGCGTGGCGTTCCGCCTATCCACAAGCGAAGACCCGTCCACAAGATATGTTGCGTTGGGTATTTCCAATGACCGCTTTATGGTATGTTGAAGCTTTTCAGTGCCATGCAAGTGCACATTTTTACCGATACCACACATACTGGTGAATGCAGCTTGAGTGTTGTTCTTTTGCTACCATGGTCAACAACATTGCTAACTACATTGCTGGTGAATGAAATCCAATCGCTTGAATGTGAGTTGCGCCCTGAGCCAGTTCTAATCTCCGTGTTTGCAGGCCTAGGGCTACATAGCGCCTAGCGTGGCATAGGCGCTTGATCAGATTCCATTGAGCAGCACTGCACCGTCTCAACTGTGTTGTGGTGAGATCCAATCTACGTGTTTGCGATAGTCTACGGTGGTTGGTTTTGTGCTTAACTGTCTATCCTGCAGGTGGGCAGCGACATTGTTACAGCATTCGTTGATGGCAGCGGAGTGCCTTCTATCCAGGATCGGTAAGCGACCAAGCAGAACCAAAGGACACGGTCACTTGACTGCCTAGTACAATTGCAAAGAGGAAAAGTGATAGCGCGGAGTGTGGACATTGGTCTAAACCTACACACCTAGTTACAAAGAGTGTCTTTGTTACCAATGATCTTTCCAGCCATGTTCAGCTGCACCTAGCTTGATACATGTAGTAGTGGGTAAGGCAGTGGGTATAACTGGAGTGAGAAATGATGAGGCTGTTGTAATACATGACGTGCATGAAGCACAGCATGACGGTTTTCGACCGGAAGGAACATCTGGGGTTGGTCTTCTATAAAAAAAAGACGCACGGCACAAATTATGATAGAGGTATTCTCTTTCAAAGGTTTATCTCCAGTGACCACTTCACCTCTCCACCAATGTGCACACTCACTCACAAGTTGCAGTGATATTAGGAATGGCAAAAGCACTTACCGCTTTTACTAATTGGCAAAAAGCACCATAATGGTAGCCTAGATTTTTCCTAGTACATCAATTCCTGTTATGTCTATTTCATTGTGTGTATCACATACAGGTGGGCTAGAGGTCGGACTAGACCAGGCCTGGACTCTGACAATCAAGTGTCTGATGCTAGTGTGTCCCAGAGCGGTGGGGTGACCACGTTCTCATTCACCTTGCCCTGTATGAGTTCGGACGCCATGGATATTCCTCTGAGTGGCGATCACTACTTGCTGTTTGCTCTCGGTCCAGTAGTCAATAGCAGACTTGTGTACCATGGCGGCGCAGCACGAGCTTCCACTAACGAGAAAATAACCATTGATTGCAGTGAGTTTGGTACAGCCGTGCGGCTCTAATCAACTTGTACACATTTCATTGCCACGCATATGTACCATAAATTGTTGTTGCTTCATCCCGTGGCACTGGAAATTAGTATGTGCTATAGTAGAGTCTTGACGGGCTACACACAGATACCAGCTTGTAAGGTATATTGTAGAATTGCAGTGTCCAGGATAGAAGTTGAATGATTGACATGACATAGCAATATCAACCTCTTGCTTACGAGAGCTCTTGTATTATTTGATCTCCTTGTCTTCCTTGTTCTATGGTTTGGAACCAGGCGCTGCTATTCCGCAGCCACCCGGACCTTCAGAACAGCCAGGTGCACCAGGCGACCCGCCAACACAACCTTCAGGTACTGAATGCCGGTTTAATGTGCTGGTAGTATGAATTGGGCGAGGAGAGATGATGTACGTGTATGTATGGATTCATGGACTCTCCAAAGTATGTATTGGTGGTTTTAACCCTCTACCGTTTGTACGTACAAATTTCGACCGCTCGCGGTTGATGACTTCTATTCGCACAGCGCTGGACTGGTTCACCGCCGATAGCTGGGATTTTCCTACTGGTAGCCAAGATGTACGCGCAGAGGGTGCCATCAATTCTTTTGTGTGATGCAATATAAAAAATCGCGGAAATCGCGACTTTAAAAATGCGCTTTTGGAAAAGTGCGTACCCTGCGACCTTTGGCCTGCAAATGTTTTCAACTTTTGTTTGAGCTGGCCTCACAACTGTCTGCCCTGCTGTGCAAGCCGTGGACGTGAAGCAAGCTCTTTCGCTTCTGGAGACCCTTCCTGATGACCCTGTTGCTGCCTCAGCCAGCGAAGATGTACAATACGATATTTTGGTTGAGATTACCGTACTCACTCAATTACAAGCCCGCAGGGTCTTGTATTTTTTTCAATGGCAATTTTGAGCAGCTTCTATTCGAGAAATGCTTTTATTGTTTCAATACATACCAGTATTCCAACCAAATCCCTAAAATTGTAATATTCAAAGCAACTCAGCCTCGGGTTAGTTCACATGCACAGTGTCAACCAGGCTATATGAATGTGATGTTTTCTACGCACTTCACCTGACCCAACATGGCACTGCCTGGCCACTAGACGCGCTGCTAATAGTAGTCCTCGATTCTATTCAAGAGGGGTTTGTATTTTCAAGCAGTCGTTGCATGGGGGATGCTGTTATCCAAGAGCGGCTTTTACTCGAGAGGGCTTCTAATCGAGTGAGTATGTTTTAAGATGTGCTGCTCTGTACGCCTTTGTGTGTCAGATCCATGTGCTGGAATAGTGTGTGATATTCCACAATGTGAACGTCTTGGAATGGTTGTCAACTACACTAGTGGAGCCTGCTGTCCAATCTGCTCACCACCTCCCGGTAAGTCGGCACCGCATTCGCGGTTGGATGTCAGCTAAACGCTCGATAACTGCCATAGCAGTGTCACTCGTGTATCGCGGTCGGAGCAATGATACTACGCCACCTGAGTTGTGTCAGGTCCCTATCTCCCACATATTTTAATCGCACTTCCTTTCCCCTGCTAGCCTGGTGAATAAATTCTCAACCTTTCACACAAGAGGATTTTAAAAGTTGAGACTATGAGATGTGCTGCTCTGTATGCCTTTGTGAATCAGATCCATGTGCTGGAATAGTGTGTGATATTCCTCAATGTGAACGTCTTGGACTGGTTGTCAACTACACTAGTGGAGCCTGCTGTCCCATCTGCTCACCACCTCCTGGTAAGCCAATCATTCCAGTAGTCTTTTGTGTCTATCATATTCTAATGGGAGGTCTTGTATTTGGTTGAATGGACAAGACAACTGCTGACTAACTTCTCAAATTTTCAGGAAATCAACTTTTACGTAAGGATTATAAGAAGTGTTGTATGCTTTTGTGCATTAGATCCCTGCGCTGGAATAGTGTGTGACATTCCACAATGCGAGCGTCTTGGACTGGTTGTCAACTACACCAGTGGGGCATGCTGTCCAATCTGCTCACCGCCTCCTCGTAAGCCTACCATATCAAAGAGTGATATTGATGAGTTTTAGGAATTGGCTTGCGGAGTAATACAATAATTAATAATTAAAACAGCCAAAACCCATTAGCATCCCTCACCTCGCAACAGTGCAACCATGTGTTGGATTAAGCTGGGAGTGCCGATATGAGCAACTGCTTCTAACATTGAAGCAAGCGTATGATGACTCTGCTTGGAGCTGCAATAGATGGCTCGCAGCCGGGCTGCAAAATGACTCCGAGTAGAGCCACCAAATGCTACATATAGGTATGCCGATTACCAATTGAGAGCGTATTTTCTCATGAACTAAAAGAACACATGTATGTACCAGAAACGGGAGTTGAGGTAGTGGGTGGGAGGGTGGGAAGAAAATCGTGTCGGAACAAATGCTCCGCAAGTTGCGAACTCGAGAATCTATCTGTGATGCAATTGCAAGAGACATTGCGTGGTGCCTGCACGCAAGTCGGACCAACTTGCTCGGCTGGCTGCTAACTTGATAGCATGCTAACGCTCATTTATCTATGAAGATATGAAGCTTTGCACAGTTTGACCAGGATGTAGTGTTGTTTTCACGATATGTACACCTAGTATAACTTACGTGGGAGACACCAACAAGTCAGGGTGCCACTTTCCAGTGAATAGACTGTAGTGCATGGCAGCAATATCAACGCCTGTTTTCTGTGGGTTCTTGACAAACCCGACACTGGAAATTTGCGATTCAAAGTGTCAAACCCCCTGTCATTACAGTGTGAATTATTTGATTCACCCTCTTTCTGTTTTCAGGGAAACATAGTTGCACAATATACGAATGATATACTGAAGCTGGTCATGGCTAATAATAAAGGATTGTTTCGATCACTGATCATGGTTTCATATTGTGCTACTTTCCACTACTTTTCAGTATCCGGCAGATCCTTTAGAAGCTCTTTTGTCAATGCTGAGTGGAACGTTCTGCCGTCCGGACGCGTGGCGTTCCGCCTATCCACAAGCGAAGACCCGTCCACAAGATATGTTGCGTTGGGTATTTCCAATGACCGCTTTATGGTATGTTGAAGCTTTTCAGTGCCATGCAAGTGCACATTTTTACCGATACCACACATACTGGTGAATGTAGTTTGAGTATTGTTCTTTTGGTACCATGGTCAACTACATTGCTGGTGAATGAAATCCAATCGCTTGAATGTGAGTTGCGCCCTGAGCCAGTTCTAATCTCCGTGTTTGCAGGCCTAGGGCTACATAGCGCCTAGCGTGGCATAGACGCGCTCGATCAGATTCCATTGAGCAGCACTGCACCGTCTCAACTGTGTTGTGGTGAGATCCAATCTACGTGTTTGCGATAGTCTACGGTGGTTGGTTTTGTGTTTAACTCTCTATCCTGCAGGTGGGCAGCGACATTGTTACAGCATTCGTTGATGGCAGCGGAGTGCCTTCTATCCAGGATCGGTAAGCGACCAAGCAGAACCAAAGGACACGGTCACTTGACTGCCTAGTACAATTGCAAAGAGGAAAAGTGATAGCGTGGAGTGTGGACATTGGTCTAAACCTATACACCTAGTTATAGAGAGTGTCTTTGTTACCAATGATCTTTCCAGCCATGTTCAGCTGCACCTAGCTTGATACATGTAGTAGTGGGTAAGGCAGTGGGTATAACTGGGGTGAGAAATGACGAGGCTGTTGTAATACATGACGTGTATGAAGCAAAGTATGACGGTTTTCGACCAGAAGGAACGTCTGGGGTTGGTCTTCAATAAAAAAAAGACGCACGGCACCAATTATGAAAGAGGTATTCTCTTTCAAAGGTTTATCTCCAGTGACCACTTCACCTCTTCACCAATGTGCACACTCACTCACAAGTTGCAGTGATATTAGGAATGGCAAATGCACTTACTGTAAATATACAAATTTTCGGCAGCTATTTAATTTCGGCTATATTCGGCACCGACCCAAAACGCCTAAATTAAAACGCCGATGAAATTTTTCACAGCATCTGTCGCAATACCATGTCCTCTACCCCACGCCGAAAATAAATCGCCGCCGAAATGTCAAAAATCGTGAATTGCCGAAATTTTGGAACGCCGAAATTTTGTAAATTTACAGTACCGCTTTTAGTAATTGGCAAAAAACACCATGATGGTAGCCTAGATTTTTCCCAGTACATCAATTCCTGTTATGTCGACTTCATTGTGTGTGTATCACATACAGGTGGGCTAGAGGTCGGACTAGACCAGGCCTGGACTCTGACAATCAAGTGTCTGATGCTAGTGTGTCCCAGAGCGGTGGGGTGACCACGTTCTCATTCACCTTGCCCTGTATGAGTTCAGACGCCATGGATATTCCTCTGAGTGGCGATCACTACTTGCTGTTTGCTCTCGGTCCAGTAGTCAATAGCAGACTTGTGTACCATGGCGGCGCAGCACGAGCTTCCACTAACGAGAAAATAACCATTGATTGCAGTGAGTTTGGTACAACCGTGCGGCTCTAATCAACTTGTACACATTTCATTGCCACGCACATGTACCATAAATTGTTGTTGCTTCATCCCGTGGCACTGGAAATTAGTATGTGCTATAGTAGAGTCTTGGCGGGCTATACACATGTAGTAGACGGACTTTCTACCGTATAGTGCGTTATATTGTGTACGTCGCGTGTACATCATGTTGGCGCATGCGCGTGTTGCTGTGGTGTAAAAAGTAGTCTTCGTTTTGAGTTCGTCTTGTCTAGTTGTGTTTTCGTCGTCGTGTCAATAAACAGTCTTCTAAATGTAGTTATCGTCGTCCCTTTTGAATAAGTGTGGAGATGGCACGGGACTGGGAGCAGGTGGAGAAAGGCCAGTTACTACAACACAGATACCAGCTTGTAAGGTATATTGTAGAATTGCAGTGTCCAGGATAGAAGTTGAATGATTGACATGACATAGCAATATCAACCTCTTGCTTACGAGAGCTCTTGTATTATTTGATCTCCTTGTCTTCCTTGTTCTATGGTTTGGAACCAGGCGCTGCTATTCCGCAGCCACCCGGACCTTCAGAACAGCCAGGTGCACCAGGCGACCCGCCAACACAACCTTCAGGTACTGAGTGCCAGTTTAATATGCTGGTAGTATGAATTAGGCGAGGAGAGATGATGTACGTGTATGTATGGATCCATGGACTCTCCAAAGTATGTATTGGTGGTTTTTAAAGATAGACAGCATCGTGTCGAAACAGAACTCTCCTGAGCTAGAACATCCAGTGAGCTAATTACATATGATGAGCTCTCGAAAAAAAAGAGTTTCATTGGGTGGTCATGGAGTTAGTGTGAATGTTCACTATTGTAAGTACATGATGCGATGCACATCTACGTAGATGGGGTTTTCATACTGAAACCTATACAACAAGTAGAATGACAATGTGTTCTATATCTCGTCTGCTACCATAACCAGTAGCATTTCCTTGATGGACTGTGTTGCCGTTGTTACAGGCTTTGATATCAGTGCTGATGGCGTGACGTCAACATCATTCGATCTACTTTTGCCAGGAGAATATCCTGGAGCATCTGATTGGATGATCTCTGTTCAGGGTGGACATGAGCCATCAGCGACGACATGCACTGTCCCACCCAGTACAAGACGATATACTGTATCAGGTCTACGACCTGGAACTGAGTATACCACCGTCGTCAGACCAACAGGCGCACCTGGATTTGTAATGTCCCGAATAGTTTTAATGACACTTCCAGACATAGGTCCACCACAACCACCGGTTACTCAGCAACCAACAGGAGGAGCCCCTGGTGATGGAGATAGACCAACTCAAGGTGCACCAGGTGATCAACAAACACCACCAGTCGGTATGTTTTCGTTTGTTTGTTGAAAACGTTTTGAAAACTCTTGCACTTTATGCATGTGCATGTACAGTGAAATTTGAATGGGCACCCTGCACTTAACCCTGCACTTAACCCTGCACTTAACCCTGCACTTAACCCTGCACTTAACCCTGCACTTAACCCTGCACTTAACCCTGCACTTAACCCTGCACTTAACCCTGCACTTAACCCTGCACTTAACCCTGCACTTAACCCTGCACTTAACCCTGCACTTAACCCTGCACTTAACCCTGCACTTAACCCTGCACTTAACCCTGCACTTAACCCTGCACTTAAAGGGGAAGTTAAGGCAAAAATTAAAATTTCACCAGTTGTAGTCTTCGGGGTGCTGAGTCGAATGGTCTTGGTCCGAGAAAGCTGAGACGCTCCCTTCCTACTTGAATCCCAATCGAACTCGCGCACTTCCACCGAAACTGGGTGACTGCGCCCTACTAGATGGGGATTTGTATGCAAAATGTCACTAAAAGCGCCATTTCGTTCTTATAAAAGCACGGATGACCGCGATTGGCCCATATGTTGTAGTCTTTTGGACGCTGAGTCGACTGGTTTTGGTCCGAAAAGGCTGCGATGCAGCGTTCCTCCTTTATTCCCAATCGAACATGGTTGAACAAGTGGTCACATGCTCCTGCGTACACCAGTCAGCTGGTCACCGTGCCTGCAGGGTACAACTTACTAGCCTGTTTGACCTTTTTTGGGTGCAGTCCTGTCACTCGAGTTGAACTCGAGTTGAACCTTGGTGTGAAAATTGTCGCCTGCTGGCGTGGTGACCAGGTGATTTGGGCACCCAGGAGCACGTGACCACTTGTTCAACCATGTTCGATTGGGAATAAAGGAGGAACGCTGCATCGCAGCCTTTTCGGACCAAAACCAGTCGACTCAGCGTCCAAAAGACTACAACATATGAGCCAATCGCGGTCATCCGTGCTTTTATAAGAACGAAATGGCGCTTTTAGTGACATTTTGCATACAAATCCCCATCTAGTAGGGCGCAGTCACCCAGTTTCGGTGGAAGTGCGCGAGTTCGATTGGGATTCAAGTAGGAAGGGAGCGTCTCAGCTTTCTCGGACCAAGACCATTTGACTCAGCACCCCGAAGACTACAACTGGTGAAATTTTAATTTTTGCCTTAACTTCCCCTTTAACCCTGCACTTAACCCTGCACTTAACCCTGCACTTAACCCTGCACTTAACCCTGCACTTAACCCTGCACTTAACCCTGCACTTAACCCTGCACTTAACCCTGCACTTAACCCTGCACTTAACCCTGCACTTAACCCTGCACTTAACCCTGCACTTAACCCTGCACTTAACCCTGCACTTAACCCTGCACTTAACCCTGCACTTAACCCTGCACTTAACCCTGCACTTAACCCTGCACTTAACCCTGCACTTAACCCTGCACTTAAAGGGGCACTCCGGCTTCATTTTCGACGCCGAGTTTTCGATGCCAAGACGAAGGTTGGTGAAAGAGAAGACACCTCGAACAAGAACGAGTCTCCAGAAGCGATCGAGTCGAGCAGGAAGACGACTTTTGAATTTCGGCCGAGCGAGCGCTGATGACGTAATGAGGGATTAGCTTGCCAGTGGAAATGCATCTGCGCACATACATTTCACATACTTTTTGGCCAATTTTCAATCGAAGAGGAGGTTGTTTTCTATGTTCTCTCAACGTCGTGAGCGATCCCGTCTTCTATACCCTTCCAGGTACCCTGAAGGTCCTCCAGAGGAGAATTTATCTCCAGCAAAGCGTTGTTGATCCGCTAAATTCGTCTCGAGACATATTCACCCAGTGCAGTGCTGACAAATGTAGAATGTTGAATCTGTGATAATTGTCGACGATGGACAGAAAGGTTGATAGCCGCTGTCGCAGGGAAAGTGAAGCTGCTGGAAGTAACAACGGGGAGCTTGTTAGCATCACTTGATCAAAGCAGCTAGACGGAATCGGGGAGTACTGACTATTTGTCTCGCCCTCAGTTTAGTGAATTTTATGATCAGAAAAATTTTCGATCAGGATCCCTTCTACAAGATGTGTAGTACAGGTGATTTCTGAACTTGACGATACCATTGGATACGGAGACCGCGGTACCGACCAGTAGACCTACCAACAACGTGTACCTGCAGGAAATTCACCCAAGGCTATTGCTAATGCTATCCTCTTCAGTGGCTGTTGTTTTTTTAGTAAAAATATGTTCACTTCTCTCAACATATTCCTGCATGGCAGCAAGAAGGTGCGCTATGGAATTCAATGCCACAATCTTCGCCCAGCTGTGGATGAAGCATGGTCAAGTCATGGCAGTACATATACCGGTACTTGAACCAGATGAGAAATTGAAGTTCATTTGTGATGTGAAGTTTGACAGCCCCAGTGACCGAGTCAAGCGTTGTCTTTTGCCGTGGCACAAATTGTTGAAGAATCCGAGATGTTCTTGGAATTATGCACATGGATACTACCAGAAATAATGGTGGCATGAACCATTGTGGAATGGGACAGCTCACGGAGAATACTGGAAAAGCTCAAGTATCTCTAAGTGATTGTAAATCCTGTTCTGGCTGATAGCTTCGGCTTGCTGCGCCCGTCCACGTACAATGATGGGAACATGCATTTCTGTTTTCTACATATTTGCTATCTACTGTACTGTGGTATTACAGTTGCAGGTCCCTTATATAGAAATATGTTCACCCCCCCCCCCCCCACATACCCACATAAATATGAACTAACAATTTCACTGTTGGACTCGCCGGTGGCTAGAGAGCAAAGGATTAATTTATAGCAAAGAAAAGGACCAGGGAACTACAAGTTACGCTATAATGTCCACGAACTATTTCACTGTATTTGAAATAATTTTGTTTGATACCCTGAGAACTCTGAAACTTTGCAGCACTGTGGATTATATGTGGATACAACATTTATGGAAGGAACACATAGTTCAAATAATTATAGCACTGGATTGTTGAGATTGTGAGCACATTCCAATCAGTACTCTACATATTTATAAGCGGTGGCAATCGTTAGGAATAGGTCGTGAGTTGTCAGAGTGCTCTAGTATATGAGAGAATGTTTTGTTTGTCTAATCGACGGCTCGTTTGAAGCCAGAGTTGTTTGAACTTGCTTCAGTCGACTTGATTCTAGACAGTAGTCGAAGGAGTACTATGAAGTATGCACCAGGCGTAGTCTGTAAGGTATCTCGTGAGAATTCTGTCGGTACACATCAGGTATCAGCTTGCAAAGATGGCTCCTCTCTGTTTCTTGAAAGCCTGTATAGTTGGACTGTGGCTCCAGCGATTCCCTTCTCAGAGCAGGTACCATACCCAATACGGTCAATGCATATTGGACAAACCTGTGTGCACAACAGAAATAGTGGAGAGAAATCTCTCAGCTCATGAACACATCAGTGAAGTTTGAACTGCCGTTGTTTGTGGCCATCAGTATAAACCTATCGACTATAAGAATAATGTGCAAAAAACCCTCTATAACTACAGCTGGGGCCATGGAATTATAAAGCATCTAACTTAGGGAACTGCCAATTCTGGTCGGAGTTGCGTTCGAGGCCTGCAATTCATGATGGCTATTGTATGTTGCATTGACCAGAGATCATATAAAACTTCCATGCCACATTGAAACACGCACTACTTTCGAGTACTTTGGTGTCCCCCAGCAAATGGGCATTCGTTCCCGGGGTGGCAGGCGTCACCATTCGTTATGCCTGGATCAGATTTCATTGACCCCAACTGTCATGAAGAATCATTTTTACTTCGACTGGATTTCAGTACAAGTTAGTTGTAGAACTGCAGAATAAATTTTGTTGTATTTGGGCAACCATTTCTCTACAAACGCTCTATTTGGAAAAGAATATTTTTAATAAAATACATGTCCAAATTCCACATTTACCCAAATCGGAATACTTGATCACGTATTCAGTCCTACACGGAATGTTTAGAAAACGCCAGGGAATAGGAATTTGCTAACGAGAACTCCAGGCCAGGGTACTAGCATACGAACAAAAACAAGATAAAAACTCACCAGTATACTTGTAGTAATTCATGCCGGTGTAATATTCACGATAAGCAACGAGGCACCCTCCGATTTGGTCAAGCTGCTTTGAAGTCTGGTTGTTCAGGTGATACAAACGGGCTCCCTGTTGTTACTTCCAGCAGCTTCACTCTCCCTGCGACAGCGGCTATCAGCCTCTCTCTCCATCGTCGACAATTATCACAGATTCAACATTCTACATTTATCAGCACTGCACTGGGTGAATATGTCTCGAGACGAATTTAGCGGATCAACAACGCTTTGATGGAGATAAATTCTCCTCTGGAGGACCTTCAGGGTACCTGGAAGGGTATAGAAGACGGGATCGCTCACGGCGTTGGGAGAACATAGCAAACAACCTCTTCTTCGATTGAAAATTGGCCAAAAAGTGTGTGAAATGTATGTGCGCAGATGCATTTCCACTGGCAAGCTAATCCCTCATTACGTCATCAGCGCTCGCTCGGCCGAAATTCAAAAGTCGTCTTCCTGCTCGACTCGATCGCTTCTGGAGACTCGTTCTTGTTCGAGGTGTCTTCTCTTTCACCTACCTTCGTCTTGGCATCGAAAACTCGGCGTCGAAAATGAAGCCGGAGTGCCCCTTTAACATGCACCATCTAATGGTAGTTGATGGTGTTGATTTTTTAGTTAACCCTTTACCGTTTGTACGTACAAATTTCGACCGCTCGCGGTCGATGACTTCTAAAGTTCTATGCGCACAGCGCTGGACTGGTTCACCGCAGAGAGCTGGGATTTTCCCTCCTGGTAGCCAAGATGTACGCGCAGAGGGTGCCGACAATTTTGTTGTGTGATGCAATATAAAAAATCGCGAAAATCGCGACTTGAAAAATGCGCTTTGGGAAAAGTGCGTACCCTGCGACTTTTGGTATTGCCTGCAGATTATTTCGACTTTTGCTTGAGCTGGCCTCATGACTGTCTGCCCTGCTGTGCAAGCCATGGACGCGGAGCAAGCTTTTTCGCTTCTGGAGACCCTTCCTGACGATTCTGTCGCTGCCTCATCCAGCGAAGATGAGTTTGTGGAGCCAGACAATCCTGTTGAAAATATTTATTCTGACGACGACCGCGACGATGACATGGCGAGTGAAAGCAGTGCCAGTGAGAGTAACATGGATGTCACAGACGACGACAGTGTCGCTGAGATGAGTGCCACTAATGGTGGAAGGGGATGTGGCAGAGAGAGAGGATTTGGCCGTGGAATAGGCCGTCGTCAGGGTTGAGGTCGTGGTGCACAGGTACTATGTACAGCCAGCGGTGCAACCTGCACTAGTCGATATTTGCAATGCTTGGGACAATGCTGACACCGCTGTGACTGGTAACACTCCTGCATTCCACCCAGAGAACGAACCTGGTATCCACTTACCTGAGGGAGCCACTCCAGTGCAAGGATCTGATTTATTGCATATTGCAACAGTTTGCCCGATCGGCAATAAATCCAAATAATTATTAGTGCTAAATAGTGAAATCTGTGTTCGTTTTCTGGACTTGAAAGTTGTTGCATCGCATTCCTGAGGGTTTTTGCTTTCAGAATCACCCCATTTTGTACATAATAAAAGTGAAAAATAAAAAAGTTATGGCATGAACAATGACGGTCGGTTTTTGCTGTACAAATACCTAAAACGGTAAAGGGTTAAGAGATGGGATAAAGAACACTGTTTTGAGCGCCTGTTTTATGTTTTTAGTAACTTTTCACCAGTCATCTGACCTTGGTTGCACAGTACCTCGGCTATACAGAACAGATTTGTACGGCCCTTTGGAGCTACATTCCAGGGTACATGTATATGGAATGATAATTGGAGTGCGGGGGGAGGGGGGGGGGGGTATTTTTATCATGTTGACATACATATCACGGTACGGCTGCCAGAAGTATATCAAGTTGACGAAGCCAAACTGTTAAGTTCTAGCAAATCGTGGAGGTGGCAACGTAGAATAGAAGTAATGGAGGATGACAAAGATAATACACGTCAGCGATGTCGTGGAGCAATAGAGATAACACACGCAAGCTTAGAGCTAGTCAAATCAGTAAGGAGATATAACACAATAGCTAGGCAGCCATCAGCAAGGTGGACTGACTCGTCATTAAAGAAGACAACATCGTAACAGAGAACGTAACAGAGACTAAAACTAGCTTCGTCATAACATCGTCAATCATGCATCATAGTAAATGTAGACCCTAACACATTGTAGATCAATCTATTATATTGACATAGTCTGGGTGTGAGAGTTTGTTTAGCGTCACTCAATACTTTTTTCCTGGCGCCCAATTGATTCAGCTTGAGTTCTGACGCGGCATAGGATTGCTATAAACTTCGTTTGCTTGTTTGATACTACTGCAGTTGGTGGAGACTTTGACTTCAGTGTTGTCGACACCACATCAACGTCATTCAATCTAATGTTACCAGGAGAGTTTCCCGGTGCACCTGGCTGGGATATCTTTGTTCAGGGTGCACACGAGCCATCTGCAACAAGATATCAAGTACCAACGAGTTCAACACGATATAGAGTGTCAGGTCTGCGTCCTGGCACAGAGTATACCATACAGGTCAGTCCTGCAGACTCACCAGGATTTGTAATGTCCCGAGTTGTTGTCATGACACAGGCCGACGTAGGCCCGCCACAGCCACAAGTCACTCAACAACCAACAGGAGTGCCTGGTGATGGAGATCAACCAACTCAAGGTGCGCCAGGAGATCAGCCAACAGGAGGAGCCCCTGGTGATGGAGATCAACCAACTCAAGGTGCGCCAGGTGACCAACCAACTGGAGGAGCCCCTGGTGATGGAGATCAACCAACTCTAGGTGCGCCAGGAGATCAGCCAACTGGAGGAGCCCCTGGTGATGGAGATCAACCAACTCAAGGTGCGCCAGGTGACCAGCCAACTGGAGGAGCCCCTGGTGATGGAGATCAACCAACTCAAGGCGCACCAGGTGATCCGCAAACACCACCATCAGGTATGTAGAATAGGGTGGTAATGTGGTCCTTTGGGAACCAATGAAGGCCACATAAAAGAGAGAGTGTGTGTGCATGAGAGAGAGTGTGAGAGAGAGAGAGAGTGTGTGTATGAGAGAGAGAGAGACTGTAGTTCCTAAATGGACCTTATGTGATAAACCTGTGAGGCAATGTTCATCACACACTCCCATTCAAACCTGTAGTCATATCCTGGAATTATATATCGGGATGTCACCGAGGCATCTACCGCTGGGAGGCACTTATTGAATTTATTGTGTAGAAATAGTGGACTTTGTATATCTTTGCGGGCTGGTGTGCAGTCTGCAATTCATAAAGCTTATTCCTTTACAATATACCTAAGTAAAGATAAACAACAGTTTACACATTGGGAATAGACTGAACAAAGCTGTCTGCTCACACTTTGAGTTTCAAGCTAAGACACTCATCCGCCCACAATGACACTAACAATTCATACATCACTTGTGCAGCCAGTAGGCTTACCTGTGTTCTAACCGCTGTTGTCCAGTTTTGGCGAGCAATCATGTGTCTTCTCTATCTCTATTTATTTTCTATTTCTTTCTGTTGCTGCTGCTGCTATTGCAGATTTTGATATCAGTGTAGTCGACACCACATCAACATCATTCAACGTGTTGCTTCCGGGACAATTTCCTGGTTCAACTGGTTGGGACATCATTGTTCAGGGTGCACACGAGCCATCAGCAAATAGATATCGCTTGGCAGCCGGCACAGCACAGTATAGAGTGTCTTCATTGCGTCCCAATACCGAGTATAGTGTAGTTGTCAGCCCCACAGGCTTGCAAGGATTTTTCATGTCCCAGACTGTTGTAATGACACTTGCAGACATTGCTCCACCACAACCACCGGTTACTCAGCGACCTACAGCAATGGCACCAGGAGATCAACCAACAGGAGGAGCCCCTGGTGCTGGAGATCAACCAACTCAAGGTGCGCCAGGAGATCAGCCAACTGGAGGAGCCCCTGGTGATGGAGATCAACCAACTCAAGGTGCGCCAGGTGACCAGCCAACTGCAGGAGCCCCTGGTGATGGAGATCAACCAACTCAAGGCGCACCAGGTGATCCGCAAACACCACCATCAGGTATGTAGAATAGGGTGGTAATGTGGTCCTTTGGGAACCAATGAAGGCCACATAAAAGAGAGAGTGTGTGTGCATGAGAGAGAGTGTGAGAGAGAGAGAGAGTGTGTGTGTGTATGAGAAAGAGAGTGTGTATGAGAGAGAGAGAGACTGTGGACCTTATGTGATAAACCTGTGAGGCAATGTTCATCACACACTCCCATTCAAACCTGTAGTCATATCCTGGAATTATATATTGGGATGTCACTGAGGCATCTACCGCTGGGAGGCACTTATTGAATTTATTGTGTAGAAATAGTGGACTTTGGATATCTTTGCGGGCTGGTGTGCAGTCTGTGTACTGTAATTCATAAAGCCTATTCCTTTACAATATACCTAAGTAAAGATAAACAACAGTTTACACATTGGGAATAGACTGAACAAAGCTGTCTGCTCACACTTTGAGTTTCAAGCTAAGATGCTCATCCGCCCACAATGATACTAACAATTCTTACGTCACTTGTGCAGCCAGAAGGCTTACCTGTGTTCTCACTGCTGTTCTCCAGTTTTGGGCAGCAATCATGTGTCTTCTCTATCTCTATTTATTTTCTATTTTTTTCTGTTGCTGCTGCTGCTGCTGCTGTTGCAGATTTTGATATCAGTGTAGTCGACACCACATCAACATCATTCAACGTGTTGCTTCCGGGACAATTTCCTGGTTCAACTGGTTGGGACATCATTGTTCAGGGCGCACACGAGCCATCAGCAAATAGATATCGCTTGGCAGGCGGCACAGCACAGTATAGAGTGTCATCATTGCGTCCCAATACCGAGTATAGTGTAGTTGTCAGCCCCACAGGCTTGCAAGGATTTTTCATGTCCCAGACTGTTGTAATGACACTTGCAGACATTGCTCCACCACAACCACCGGTTACTCAGCGACCTACAGCAATGGCACCAGGAGATCAACCAACAGGAGGAGCCCCTGGTGATGGAGATCGACCAACTCAAGGTGCGCCAGGTGACCAGCCAACTGGAGGAGCCCCTGGTGATGGAGATCGACCAACCCAGGGTACACCAAGTGGTCAGCCCTCAGGTATGTTGACAATACTTTGGAATTTACTATTACCCGTGTGCTGGTTGCATGTCCCCAGACTCATTACTAATATGGGTGCCACAAGCTGGTTGTTTAGTGATGTATATGGCTGGATAGTACTTACAGTTCATTCATTGGAAACTGGCACCCTAACTTGTTGGTGTCTCCCGCACATAGTTGTAGATATCGTGAAAACAACAGCACATCCTGCATTGTGTGACCCATGCAATTACTCCTTGCCACATTTGAGGCCAGAGAAGTCGAAGAACAGGGAAATAGAATTTCAGCCAGGTTTTACAAAATTAGGGCAGGTATGCCATGGCAAAATCCCAAACCCAGATTTTTGAGATTTAAAGTGGGTTTTTGATCCCCGATTCCGCCCAGATCGGACTTTCAAAAGCCAGCCGGACTGTTTCCGATGAATGGACTGTAGACCGCCTCCCTTGCACCCATTCATTCGTAGCATTTGGAATTTTGTACAGACACTGAAGTCTAACTAATGATTCGTGTACCGTGCATGGCGGTACTGTGAATAAATCTGATATCCGATGGGAAGTTGTAACTTTTTGATCTCAAGTCTAGGCTGAGGGTATGAGTCTGGCAGGTAGTCTAGAATTGCCACCTTTTGTCTTCCTATTGGAACAGCTAAACTTTGGCCTCTTACTCCCTTCTGTCGACCAATCTTTGGTGCTGTGAAGAGTATGGAGACTGGGGAAGGGCTCTCAGAAGCAGTCTTGGTACTCCTTAGCATTCTCAAGGTCTTAGAATGCACATGGCTGAATAGGCTTAGTTTGCCGTGGACATACACTGTGCACTTATTCAGTGATGCCTAAGCAGAATATCAGCATACTAGTATGGGTGTATGACTGCATGAGGTTAAAGTTTTCTTGGAGAAGTCCTCCTTTCAAGTCTTGAAACATGCTAAGTATAGTATCATATGGATACAGGGAAGTATGTGCAGCAATGACTGGTTTGTCTGACTACACATTCACAGTGTTTTAAAGTTGCACTATGTGTGTAGATTTAATCTTAGTGCGAGCATGTGCTTGTAAATGTATGTGTGTGTGTGTGTGTGTGTGTGCGCGCTTGCGGCGCACGTGTACACTTATGTGTCTGTCCGTGCATCCGCCTGTCTGTCCAAAAAATATGCCTGGGAATTTTCTGTCTGTCTGTCTGTCTGTCTGTCTGTCTGTCTGGCCATATCTCTCCCTCACTCTCTGTGGCTGTGTGGATGCATGTGGAAATGTGTGAATATGGTTGCCTCATGCTGCAAAACAGGCATGTTCCCAGAGAGTGCAAGCATTACCATTGACTTCCCACCAGCTGCGGCAGATTCGAAGTTCTTCACCGTTCTCATCAGACCAGCCGGCTCATCTTTAGAGTTTGGGCAAGTTGCTCAAGTCCCCGCGGACGCGCCTCGCTTTATTCTTGGAGGATTGGAATCAGGACGTCGATACGAGATCTTGATCCGGGAGGCTGGAGATGGTGTACCTCGTGATGTTAGCCAATTTGAACAAACTGCTTCAGGTAAGATTCGATCACGGAGAAGACAAACATTTCACAATGCCATTGAAGGCGTCCAAAGCAATATTGTTGCTGATGTTTTGCTGTGAAATATTGCAAGAGGAAGAATTGTGATAGATAGGACCGTGTCACTTTGTATAATTTTATGTTGATTGTACGCTTTGTCATTTTGTGTGTGTGTGAAAAAAATAGGGATTCACTGGCCAGAAAAAGCCACTTCAGTCAGTTGTGTGGTGTAGACGGGGCTAAAATTAGTGGCGGTCAATTCATCAGCCTTGCAAGCTGTTGAATGGAGTAATCCCAGCACAAGTTGTATGTCGTGTGTGTGTGCACATTGACTTTCAATAATAACAGGAACCACAGTTATAGTCCCGATTAACCTGCCCGGAGTTGTACCTGGAGTTACTTCCTGGCAAGTGCAAGTGAGCCAGCAAGGTCCAGGCGGACTGTACGGTCCCTGGCAGACATATGTACAGCTTCCTAGTTACCTGCCCCAGTACGGCCTGACTGGACTCTCCCGTGGAAACACATACCAGTACCGCATCTTGGACAACAGTGGAAATGTTCGAGTAACAAGGATCGTGTCAATTCCTGAAGTTCCGCAGCCGCCAGTGTTCACAGGTATGTACCAGTTGGTCTTGTACACATTGTGACCTGCTGGGTAGAAAGTAAGTCCTCGGGATAATGTTGTTGACAAATTTAATTATGATTCAAGAGGATTTTTCGTTTTGGAATGACTTCCTGCGCGTTATCCCTGAGCCTGGTTCGATGGAATTCATAGAAAGGAGAAATTTGCAGCTACAACATATTTCTCTGTGCACGTGTATGCTTAAAACACATGTGTACATTTCTGTGCTCCTGCTGCTGTTACTGTGTGTTTGAATGTATGTGGTCGTGTGTTGTTATGTGTGTGTGTGTGTGCGTGTGTGTGTTTGTTTGTGTATGTTTGTGTGTGTTTGTGTGTGTGTGTGTGTGTTTGTTTGTGTATGTTTGTGTGTGTGTGTGTGTGTGCATGAAATTGCTTCATACTATCCAATAGATGTCTTCCCGGAAAGTTCAAGCGTCACTATAGACTTCCCACCAGCTCTAGGTGATTCAACATTCTTCACAGTTTCCGTTCGACCGGCAGGATCATCTGAGGAGTTTGGACAAATAGCTCAAATCCCAACCAGCGTGCCCCGCTTTGTTCTGGGAGGGTTGCGATCGGGACAGCGTTATGAAATCTTGATCCAGGAGACAGGAGATGGCGCACCTCGTGATGTCCGCCAATATGAAGCAACTGCTTCGGGTAAGAACCTTTCTGTTGGTGAACTGAATGAAACGGGTAAGAACCTTTCTGTTGGTGAACTGAAGGAAACAACGAATACAATCTGCTTTGAAAAGCAGTTCAAAAAAGGTTTTCTAGCTGATGAAGTTTTGTTTTTTCATGAGCATAGGGAAAGGGCATACAGCATTTTTCACTTACAGATATATTTGAGCAGTTGCTCTTCTTCTGCGCAGCTCCATAGAACTTGCCATCATGGTCTTCGTTTTCCTCGTGAGTATTGACTGCTCTGGTAGACCACTCCACCATGTACTGAACAGCTGCTCTGTGAGTGAAAATATGCCGTTGTATTGTGGTGGACGGTTTCGAACGCGGAAATTTGTGATAGAAGCGGTTATTGTGTTTGCATAATCAAACCAGTTAATAATCACATGTATGTGCATACATGTACATGTGCATGTGTATGTGCATGTGTATGTGTTGTTATTTAACCAAAATAGGAACCATAGTTGTAGTCCCGATTAACCTGCCCGGAGTTGTACCTGGCGTTACTTCCTGGCAAGTGCAAGTGCGCCAGCAACGTCCAGACGGACTGTACGGTCCCTGGCAGACACAGGTACAGCTTCCCAGTTTCCTGCCCCAGTACGGCCTGACTGGATTCTCCCGTGGAAACACATACCAGTACCGCATCTTGGACAACAGTGGAAATGTTCAAGTAACAAGGACCGTGTCCATTCCTGACGTTCCACAACCACCCGTGTTCACAGGTATGTTGCAGTGGGTTTTGTGAACTATTATATTCTTTCACCAAGAAGCAGGCATGTACAAACATTATGCCCACAACTTCAGACACCACACTTAATTGATACTCACTAATACCCAGAAAATCCACTTACTTTTGTCACTCTAGCTCCTGCCATGATAAGGCTGTTCCTTCATTGTCTCATTTGGCCAAACTAGTCACTTCCGCCATATAAGTTGTCTTGAGCATATCTTTCAGGCATGGGAATATCATTGTATGGAGATAAGGTATGCCCACCCTGAGCTCAGAAGGGATTGCCAAGGGGCGAACAGTTGAATGCTGCTCGAAGTAATACAAAGCTACTGTGGCTCTATGTGTTTATAAGCATACTGTCGGGTAGACCCGAGTATCAGTTGTCTGATGATTGCCTAGCGGCATGAAACTCAGAGTTACAACCAACCTGAACGTCCTCCGCTGAGTCTGCTAATACAAAGCTATGTATTCTCGGATTTGGAAGTTCAATGTTCTGTTTGCTCTTCAACTGCATTTTTCACAGGACGTCCTGTTGAGACACCTGCACCTGGCGTGCCCACCGCAGGACCGCCGGTTTCAGCTGACTCAGGTGAGGAGATGCAATTGCTGTGTGTGTGTGTGAGCACTCGAGCTACCTGCCATCATTAGGATGGCCAGTTGTGTTGATATTTTTATAGCTATAGTCATGTTGCACTGTAACGTGGTATTAGCTTGTTTTAGCTTTTCTAGTTGAGGTTCATGCACACATGGGTCTGTATGACTGTAGTGAAACCTGCAGTGCGTGTGCCGCCAATTAGGCAAATGGTTGCTGCCAGGGGCTTGTGCACATTGAATCTAAATTGACAAAAGTAAATTATGTAAATGTTGCACGCATGTTCGTATTTTCTACTCACACGCACACGAACCCTTCGAAGACTGTATATTCATGCACTCGAGTACTCATACACTCGAATCATCACACAAACTGTGGGGCTTGATCTGTCTTACAACGTTCTTGCAAGACGATACAACAACAACTCCTGTTCTCTACAAATCCTTACGCACACACTAAAGTACTATCAACTAAAACCAGCTAATTTATGCACAGAACATATCCTGAAAAGCAGCGAAACAAAGGAAGCCAAAGCAGCAGGCATGGAAAGATCCCGTACGCACTATGAACTCTTGCACTCTAGATATGCGCAGGGTACGATACTAGTTCAGCGGCTACTAACACTAGCATGACAGACATGAATGAAACCGCAACCAAGTGAGCGTGACACAGATTACGAAGGTAATGAAAAGAACCAGACTGTCATCGCACAACCGCCTATTGTCGGCTCACACACAGAAACCAGATAGTCTAGCAATATATGAAATGCGACGGAACATAATCCCCCTCTCACACGAAGGGTATAAGACTGAGTGTGATACCAAACAGTAACGATAGAACATGAAAAGACAAAGAACTAAAAGGAAATATGCAGGTCCATTCTATGCTGCTACTGTCACTGCGGTGGGCTAAGGCACTGAATTCCTCAGCCACTATCTGCACACAATGGAACAAGCTGGTGAACACTCCGGCGCTTGATCTTGTCGGCGATCTTCACGTCCACTACCCTTACATGACCATCGGCTCCTGGATGGGTTCCTACGACTCTGCCTAGTGGCCACTGGCCACGTGTCACATCCGGACTTGGGCACAGCACCAAGTCGCCTTTCTGCAGCTCTCTTCTCTCTGCTCTCCATTTCTTCCTGAGGTTCAATAGCGGAACCAGTTCCTTCATCCAGCGGGTTCATACATGACACACATGCTGCTGTACTACTTGCCAACGCTTCCGCGGGTGGACGGCGTCAGAGGCATTCACTTCCATCTCCAAATCAAGTGGTTGCACTATGCGGCCAACGAGGAAATGATTCGGGGTCAGCACATCGGCATCCTGCGGGTCAGTGCTGAGCTGTGTGAGAGGACGGGAATTCAGGATATTCTCAACCTCGGTGAAGGCAGTGACGAGCTCCTCATCAGTCAAGCTGGCCTTGCCCAGCACATGAGTGAGTGCACGCTTTGCTGCTTTCACTACTGCTTCGAAGATACCGCCAAAGTGGGGAGAACGTGGTGGATTGAAACGCCATTTGATACCATCATCGGCGGACCGACGTTCTACCTTCTGCCAATCAATCTGCTCGGCAGCTTCACGAAGCTCTCTCTCAGCGGCAACGAAATTGGTGCCATTGTCGGATATCATGACGGATGGATTTCCCCGACGCTTTACGAATCTAGAGAACGCCATCAAGAAGCTGTCTGCGTTCAACGATGTCGCCATCTCTAGGTGACAGGCCCGGGTCTCCACACAAGTGAAGACGCACAGATAGCGTTTCTGCTGTGCCCGACTGCGGCCTTGTTTCGTGAGAAATGGGCCCGCGAAGTCGACTCCACAATTGCTGAAGGGTTTGAACGACTGAGTTGTTCGTACACTGGGCACAGGTCCCATCAGCTGTTCTGCTGGTTTAGCATTCATCCGCTGGCACCTCACACAGCTTCGGCGTGCGCGTTTTACAGCTGCAAGGCCATTCACGATCCAGAACCTCTGCCTGAGATTCGCCAGTAGGTGTTGGGACCCTGCAGAATGGTGGCATTGTTGATCCTCTTGCATGATCAACAGCTGTGTCACCCGATGGTTTGGTGGCAGCAACATGGGCTGCTGTAGACCACGGCCGAGATGTGCCGATTCCTTTAGTCGTCCACTCAGTGTCAGTATAGGAACACCTTCAATTGTGAGCAACACCGGATTCAGCCGTTGTAGCGGGTCGGATGCCGGCAGAGTCTTTCCAAGTGCAAGTCGCTGGATTGTGCCTCCATAGGTGTCGACTTGAGCCGCTCTAATCCAGTGTAGTTCCGCATTCTGCAGTTCTTGCGGCGACAACTCCTCCGTAGCGTGTTGTTCTGTGGAGTTGCTGGCTGCACTCTTTGCAGACGTCCCGTCAGTCTGTTGCAATGGTACCACTACCGCGCTGGTGGGAACCGCTCGCCCCCTCGTGATCCTTGCTCTCAGGTTGCCTAGGAATCGCAAGCACCATGCCGTGATGCGTACTAGCCGCGACCAGGACGAGTACGTAGATGGGCTTAGCCTGATCTGTTCATGTTCGACGGCGAACGTGATGGCTGGCTTCTTCTTCAGTTGTCCGGGGAGCTGAGCTGGCACAGTGAGGTTGGTTTTCGGCCATTCTGCCGGTGCCGACTGCAGAAACTGGGGTCCTCTCCACCAGGTATCGTTCCGTATGAAGTCGGCTGCGCGCTCGCCACGGGTGCCGAGGTCGGCTGGATTGACTTTGCCTGGCACATGGCGCCATTGATCGGCTGTAGTACTCTTCTGGATCTCAACAATACGAGTGGCAATGTCGCTCCGGAAGTTCTTGGCGTTGCTGCGCAGCCAGTACAGAACGTTGGTTGAGTCAGTCCAGTATACATGCTTATCGCACCCCACGTGAGTGTCTCCATGGTTTGAGCCAATCAGCGGCCTTACTGAGCGTGCAATATTCCCCAGTACACCGCCAGCCAATGTGGATGCACTGCAGTGCGATATTGCACCCCGGCGAGTGAGCGTGCAAATAACCTATATTTGCACGCTCACTTCGAAGTGAGCGTGCAAATATAGGTTATTTGCACGCTCACTTCGAAGCGAGCGTGCAAATATAGGTTATTTGCACGCTCGCTTCGAAGTGAGCGTGCAGATATACTCATATAGGTTATTTGCACGCTCACTCGCCGGGGTGCAATATCGCACTGCAGTGCATCCACATTGTCCTCTGGTCATTGGCTGGCGGTGTACTGGGGAATATTGCGAGTCGCTCCGCCAAGCAGTCGCTGCTGACTTGCTGCAGCACACCAAATAATAATTGGTCGAGGACGCTGTCGCGGAAGCGAATGTGGACCCGGCTTGCGTCACTTCACAAGCTCCGTGAGAGTCGAGACAGCAGACGCCCAAGTATTGGAGAAGACTGTCGACAGCCGATTTGAGAAACTGTCCGACGCCGCCATCGACAGCCTCGTTTCTGAGCAGACAAACAAAAACACAGAGCAGGCAACTGACAAATGGCTCCGCTTATTCGACGAGTACTGTAAAGACACAGGACGTCGCTGTGACCTGAGTACGGTTACGGCAAGCGACCTAGCTTACATTCTGCGACATGCATACGTCGAATTCCGTCCGAAGAAAGCTGGAGTGAAGTTCTACTCTGCATCAAGCTTGCTCGGTTTCCGTTCCGCAATACATCGCAAGCTAGTCGAGTTGAAGCGGCTCATGAACGTCCACAGTGACCCAGCGTTCAAGGACGCAAACATTGCATTGAAGGCTTTCCTCCTGAAGTCAAAGAAAGCGGGGAGAAGTCAAAGCGGTGGAGCACAAACACCCCATCAACGACGACGACATGAGCAAGCTGTCCCGCTACTTCCATGATCTCTCGGGAGTGTATACAGCAGCTGCTCGAAAGTAGTGTTCCTCTAAAAATGAACGCGACTGGTTGTGCTGTGTTGTATGACTGTGAAATAATAGCAGGGTTGCATGCAGCATGCTAGGGTTGCACCAGACCGTGTCAAGTCACACACACAAGTGTGTGGTGACAGACTGTGTGGTGGCAGGGGTGCGATAAATGTATTACTGCACTCGGACGCGTGCAATACCGGCGTCGATATCTGCACTTACGGCTTCGCCGTTCGTGCAGATATCGGCCGGTATTGCACTGGTCCTTGTGCAGTAATACATACTTCTCTACTGGTATGTCTAGCGCTCGAGCTACGACTTGACTCGCACGTACTCCCAGGGCTGCGCCACGAAGTTCGAGCTTCGGGCTGGTGGTTGGCTTGATTGGCGCGGTCTTGGCTTTGGCGAATGCGAGCGTGACTTTCACGAAGCCATCAGGGTACTCGCAGCGCACGTATACTCCTGTAGCGACTGCATGCGATGACGCATCGGTGAAGACGTGCACTGAGAGTGCCGCGGACTCTGGAGGACGACGTGCATGCTTGAAACATCGATCTGCCTTGATCTCTGCCAGCAATGGTAATTCCGCAAACCACCGCTGCCACTTAGAGCTCTGTTCATCAGACAGTGCGGCGTCCCAATCCTTCTGCTGCGTACATAGCTCTTGGAACATCAGCCGTGCACGGATAGTGAAGGGTGACAGCTGACCTCGTGGATCATAGATGGTAGCCATCTTGGACAACACTGATCGTTTCGTGAGTTGCTGCGGTGATGTTGCTTTGTAAACGAAGGTGAACACATCATCTCTCGCATTCCAAGCTACGCCGAGTGTCTTGACTGGATTGGAGATGGTCGGGTTGTCGTTGCTACTGAGATGCAGTAGCGAATCTGTAGCACGGTCAGCCTCGGGTATAGCCTCCAGCACTTGGCGGTCGTTGCTCCGCCATTTGCGCAGGTGGAATGAACCATGTTGCAGGAGGGACTGGACTTCCCGCTGAGTGGTGATAGCGCTATCAGTTGTAGGACAGGACTTGAGCAGGTCGTCCACGTACAGAGACCGGTCGATAGCACTACGAGCCATGTCACTGTAGTTAGAGCCAAATCTGCTTCCAACCTCCTTGACGGCACGGCAGGCTAGATATGGCGACGCCTTGAGGCCAAATACCAATCGGTTGAATTCAAACGCTTCCATGGTAGATTGTGGGGACTCTCGCCACAAGAATCTCACATACCGCCTATCTGCGGGTTTGAGGCCGACTTGCAGGAACATCTCAGCGATGTCGCCGACGAGTGCAACAGGTTCCTGACAGAATCCCAGCAGGACCTCCACCAGGTCTTGCTGTAGTTTCGGCCCAGCATACATATGGTCATTCAGTGACTGGCCGTCGTGGGTGGCTGCAGCGTCAAAGACCATACGCACTTTCGTTGTCTCCTTGTCCTGCCGCACTATTGGAAAATGGGGCAGGAACCACTGGTCTGGCTCGGTGAGAACGTCGGCATCGCACCTCGTGATGTAACCCTTCTCTAGATGTTGAGCTACAAGCTGACGGTACTGGTCGTATACTGGTGGGCGCCGAGCTAGCGAGCGCTCCAGGTTGAATAAGCGGCTCTTGGCTGTCGCGATGTTGCTTGTCAGTTGCGACCGACCACCGTCACTCGTCCATGGGATGCCAGTGACGATCCGAGTACCATCGTGCGTAGTCATCTCACGTACCAGACGGTCGGCTTCGATTTCAGCCTGGGTGAGGGTAGACTGTGTCACGGTCCCAACATCGTCCCACAACCAGAACTTCTCCACAATAGCGTCCAATCGCTGCTGTGGTGTCATGTCATCTGCTGGCGTGACGGCTGTGGTCATCGAGCACTGTGAGGGCGTCACTACTGGTCCAAAGCACACCCAGCCCAATGGTAGGCGACGAGCGATTGGGTCACCATCATTGCCAACGACTTCTTCCAGTGTAGTATGTGCTCCCGGCACATTCAGGCCTACTAGTAGCTCCGGAGTGCGGGTGTTGGTTGGTGGTAATGGAATATCTCTCAGGTGCTCATAACAGCATTTGATCTTGTCCCAGTTGACCGGTGCTGTGTGGGTGGTAATCTGTGGCTGGGTCCACACCTCGAGGTCCGCACTGTAGTTGCCATCCACACTTCTCATAGTGACCTCGACACACTGGTGTTGTCCTGTCACTGTCTTACCGCCCAGAACAGTTGTCTGGAGCGACTGGGGCTTGCCGACTATGCCAAGCTTACTCGCAGCGTCATCCGTCAGAAAGCTGGTAGTAGAGGCTGGGTCCAGCAATGCGGTGACGCGCTGTTGGCGACCCTCATACTCCAGCACTACTGGCACAGTCATGAAGGCAATCTGATCTCCCATCGATGCACTGGTTTGATGGTTGGTGGCTGCCTGGGGCTGTGTTCCGTCAGTGTTCGAGCCCTCTCGTGCTCCACTCGTTCCGTCAGTCGTCGAGCCCCCTCGTGCTCCACTAGTCCGCTGGGTACGCTCTTGGTGGAGCAGAGTGTGGTGCCTGGCTGGACAACGTTCGCATCCTCCCGACTGACACGCTGCCCTCCAGTGCCCGGACCTCAGGCAGCAGGTGCATAGCTTCCATTCGTATACTAATTCCCGGCGCTGTTTCACTGGCAGTGCCTTGAAGCTTCGGCACCAGGTGATGCAGTGGCTGCCGTTGCAATTCCGGCAGGACCGAACTGGTTTGTCTCGCCTGGCCTCGTTTGCAGATGAGCTGGCGGCGTGCAGTGCTGTCTGCCCGCGAGGCTTGTACGTTGTCGTTGGTTGTGCAAGGCTCTTGGCTGGCGCCACCAGCGCTGCAGCCTCAGCTCGCTCTCCCAGCCAGGACGAGAACGTGTCGAGTCCGAGCTGATCGGTCGTCAACCCTTGCGTCTTTAGATACTCTCCCCATTGCATCCGTTGAGCTGGTGGTAACTTCGTGACCAACTCGTTGCGCAATGCAGGGTTGGTCAGGTGGCCCTGGCTGTTGAGCAGCTTCATTGTCAGCACGATGTTGTTGATGGCCGTTGCCAGTCCGATCAAGCTGTCGGG